GGCGCCCAGCAGTGGGGGCTCGTGCCCCGAGGAGGAGGAAGCGCTGCTCCCGGAGCAGGAGAGGCTGTGCCTCCGGCTGGAGGCCGGCGGCCGCGCACTGCGGAGGGCTGCACTGGAGGCGCTGCAGCTGCAGGCCCGCAACAAATGCCTGGTGGAGGCTCTGGGTGAGACGAGGGCCGGCCGGGAGGCCGCACGCGCCGAGTGCCTGCAGCTCCTGCAGCAGAGAGACGCCCTGGCCGCCGCCCAACGGAGGCTGCTGGCCGAGAGGGCGGAGCTGCTGGGCGAGAAGCGCCGCCTCTCGGACAGGCTGGGCAGGTGCTCTGAGGAGGCCGCCCAGCTGCAGGGCAGCCTGGGGGAGAAGCTCACGCACCTCGCGGCAGAGAAGACGGCGGTGGGCCGCAAGATGGCCGGGCTCAGGAAGCAGCATGAGCGGCTCCTCGAGGAGAAGTCTGTGCTGGAGAGGCGGAATGGCGCCTTGCTGGGCCAGCGGGACCGCTCCCTCAGAGCTGTCGGCGACCTCAGGAGGAAGTGCGCCCTGGAGCGCGCCCGCGCAAGAGGTGCCCTGCGCCAGAAGGCCAAGCTGCTCAGCGACCTGCACGCCCTGAAGAGAGAGCTGCGGGAGAGGAGGGAGGAAAACCAGGGGCTGGCAGCCAGCTGGCGGGAGCTGTCCCTGCTGCTGGCCGGGGCTCAGGGCGCCCAGCAGGGTCTGCAGGAGGAGCTGGCCCGCCTGCGGGAGGCCCACGAGAGAGCGCAGGCTGGGCTCCGGGCTTGCCGCTCCAAGAAGAGCAGCCTGCTGCGGGAGGGGCTGAGCCTGCGGGGGGCGCGCCAGAGGTCATTGGAGGAGGCCCGCGCGCTGCAGCAGGCCCTGGCCCTGGAAAGGGAAGCCAGAGCCCAGGAGCAGGAGGCCTCTGCGCTCCAGAGCATTGAGCTGTGCGGGAAGGTGCTGCTGCTGGAGCAGGAGGCCGCGGAGCTGCGGGCCTGCGGGAAGGCGCTCCGGGCGGAGAACGGGGCACTGCGGCGAGAGAAGGCCCGGTGCGAGCAGCGGGTGGCCGGGCTCACATGGGAGCAGGCACCAATGGGTGTGGAGGCGGCCCGGCTGGCCGCCAGGGTGGAGGCCCTGAGGGGCGAGTGTGCGGGCCTGTCTGGGTCCAGGCTGCAGCTGCAGGACCTTCATAGCTGCCTCGCCTGGATCCTGGACGAGCTCCGGCCGAGCCACGAGGCGACACTGGCCGAGCGTGCTGAGGCGGCGCGGGACGATGAGAGCCCGCTGGCCGGGAGCAGAGAGGCGCTGCTGAGGGAGAAGGAGGAGCTGGCGGGAAACTGCCTCGTCCTTGAGGAAGAGGTCAGCCAGCTGGCCAGAACCAACAGCCACCTGTCCGCCGGCCTCCTGGAGTCTCAGAAGGAAAACCGTGCTCTGAGGAGAGACAGGAGCAAGCTCGCTCTTAAGATTAGAGAGCTCGAGGGCCTTCACTCGCTCACGGTAAAGTGGGAGGTGCAGGTGGTAGCGAGCGGCCGGCCGGGCTTGGCAGGGGCCTTGGCGGGGTGCAGAGCCCCGCTCTGACAGGGCGCCCCGTAGGCCATCACTCCCCCCATGGGGCCGCTTTACTGGGTTCTGACTGCAGCAGCTTCAGAAAAGACTTGCAGACTGTGAGTGAGGCGGACCACGGTCCTGACGAGGGCAGATCTCGCAGCAAGCTGACGGCACAAGGGCGCAGTCTGGTGCCAGGGCCCGTGAGCGGGCGCTGGTGGTGTACCGACACGGTGTCCTCTGTTGCTGTTAACTGTGAGATTGCACCTATTTGGCCTGGAAATTTCCCCTGTGAAGCCTTCCGGCTCGTGAGTAGGGAGCAGAGACTTGCCAACAGCCTGCTTGATCACGTGAAGCCGCGGGCAGGTGCCTGGCCAGACCTGATTATTTCATGGTTATCTTCCACCTGCGTGGATTCATCTTTAAACTCACGTGTTTCTCACGACCATGCTCACATGCATCCCCCTTTCCTAAACTTTGCCCATCAGTGCTTCGCATAAAACACCTGAGTCCACGTGAACATTAGCCCAGGTAGTTTGTATCTGTTTGAAAGTGTCCGCACCTGAATTCCGAGGGGTTTCCAAAGCCTCTGCTTTGAAAGTGGCAGAACAGCCTTTTAACTGTGACTGAGAAGGGTCAGGCACGGACGAGCTGGGCCCTGGAGCCCATCAGGGGACCCCGGCCTGAGCGGCGGAGGGCCGCGGCACACACCCCTCCTGTGGGTGCTGCGTGGGGGGGTGGCGTGGGTCCAGCACTGCGCCCGGGCCGTAGCGGGGTGGGTGCTCTGTGCTCACGGCACTCTCATCTGCCCAGACGGCCCAGACCGCGGAAGGCGCTCTGCAGCTCCTGGAGCAGATGACCAAGGAGAAGACTGACGCGCTGGCCTCCCTGGAGGACTCCAGGCAAACCAACGAAAAGCTGCAGAGCGAAGTAATCAGGTTTAAACGGCTCTTCGTACGGGGAAGCTCACCGGCTCCGGTTACTTGAGCGCCGGCTTGGGGTTGCTCGTTTTCTGAAGTGGGCAGCCGCGAGGCAGGTCTGACCTCTGCTGACGTGCAGCCCGCCGTGGTGGAACTAGGGACAGTGTGTCTCTTGGCCGGAGAGCCTCTCAGGGACCGGGCAGCGCCGAGGGTGTGGCTCCCGGGGTGACTGCTCGGTGCCGGAGCCGGAGCCCGTGAGGCTGGCGATGGCCCGGGCTCCCCTAGCGTTCACTCTGAGTCACACCCATTCTCCCCTCAGCTTGCCCCAGTGTTGGGGTTCCCAGAGGCCCAGCAGGCCCCTCCCCGTCTGACGCAGTTGCGTTGGGTCTTAGAGCTATAGCGCCAAGGTAGCTTTGTTCTGTCCAAAAGTAATTTCATCAGGTCTTTTTCTCTTGGTCTTTAAGTTGGATACACTTAAAGAAAACAACTTGAAGAACGTGGAAGAGCTCAACAAATCGAAAGAACTTGTGACTGTGCAGAATCAAAAAATGGAGGAATTCAAGAAGGAAATGTAAGTTTAAGTTTTTTGACAGAAATTGTGGAACTTACTGGAAATCACAAAAGCGAAAGCGGTGCTGGTCACTTACGAGCCCCCTGACTTAGTTAAGCGAATTAAGCGAAATGCTGCTGTGTGCTGGCCCCCCCACCCCGCCAGCGCAGAGCGGCTGGAGGAACCCGCCAGGTGAGCCCGGCCAGAGGCTGTCAGCCCGCGGCCGGTCTTGGCGTCTGGAGAGTCGCCCCTTTGTTCATGACCCCCAGCAGCCTTCCTGAGAAAACCAGGATGTCACTTTCCGAATGACCAGTCATCTTGATTTTAGGATAGTTGGGTCTTCTGGCATGGAAGTTGGGGGGTTGGCGTGCACACTGGGGTGTGAAGATGGCGTGAGCAGGGTGTGGAGATACCCTTGTGGCCGGGCCCAGCCCAGGCCGAGCTGGCTCAGGCCGGCAGCCTGTCCAGGTACACGAACACGCTGGCCGCCCTTGACAGCAGATACATTCAGTACAAACAGGCTGTTTTGAAACTTACTTGACCTCTTTATGGATTTCACTTACTGTGGGCTGTTGATGGAGACAGCAAGGAATTAAAAGGCTTCAAAGGAGGCTCCCGGTGGCACAGCGGCTTGGAGCGCTGCACTGTGACGCTTGGCCAAGCTGTGGGGGCCTCAGTGAGACTCTGACTCCCACCCCAGAAGTGACCCCAGGGCACAGCAGACCCCCCGCCCCGCCCCCCGCTGCCCCTTTGGCAGTGTGCTTCTTCAGGCTGCCCGTCCTGCTCCCCACTCTGGCTATGGGGAGTCTTCTCACCGCCCCTGCACCTTTGGCCTGTGCCCCAGTTCTGTGTGCATAAGTAAACACCTCTTTAAAAAGAAAAACTTAAAAGAAAAATAAAAGAAAAACGCCTAAAAGAGAGGGAGCAGGGTCACAGATTCGCCACTGACAGGCTGCAGCTTGTGTGTGTCAGCAGGGAGCCCTGGGAAGAACAGGTCTTGGTTTGGATCCCCTAAAGTGAGATCTGTCCCCCACTGGTGAACTTTAACCCAGAGGTGAATTTCGGGGGGGGGGGGGTGGCGGGAGTCTGTGTGTGGAATTCTGATCCGTAATTGAAACCAAGCTTCTTAGCGTTTACATGTCTGCTCGGCGTTTTCACTGGCCGAAGAGCCAGTGATGTGCAGTGCCCGACTGCGGGAGACTGTCCGTCCGCCCAGGCCTCCCCACCGCTGCTGCCGGTACGGGTGGGTGGCAGGAGGGCGAGAGGCCGGGCACTGGCAGCGCCCCGCACAGCGGGTCCAGGTAGCCGAGCTCACGCAGTGGCCCGCAACTCGTTCAGGCCCGGGCTGCCGGCCAGGGCGCGGTGTGGGTGGCAGAGGCCTGGATTCAGTTCTGCCAAGACCCTGGAGGGCGAGAGACTGGGGTGCCGGGGGTAACTTGGGGTGTGCACTTCACACTCACTTTGCTTTTGGGGGAGATGTTCAGTGCGTGGGCCCAGCCATGGGGTGTGTGCCGCCCCTGGATGCGGGTCGGTGTGGGAGACCCCAGCAGGGCCCAGCAGCGAGGGTTCTGTAGGGCGCCCGCCCGCCAGAGCCTCGTTAGCTGGCGCCTGCGGGGGGGGAGGTGCTGAGCCGGTCCCCTGCAGCCAGACGCCTTCACGGCTGACCCAGGCCAGTGCTCCGGCTGAGGGCAGCCGGCTGCTCCCCGTCCCGGCCTGGCCTGCTGCCCCGTGTGACTGCGCTGTCCCCGTAGAGAAGCCCTGACGCAGGCGGCGGCCCAGACGTCCCAGCAGCTCTCAGCACTGCAGCAGGAGAACGTGAAACTTGCAGAGGAGCTGAGGAGAAGCCGGGACGAGGCCAGCAGTCAGCAGGAGGTCAGTGGGCCGCGCCTGGCCCCCGGCGGGCGGGTGGGCCCTGGGGGTGCGAGCAGGCTGGCCATCCTGCGCCGAGGCTGGGAGCACAGCCTCTGCGAGCGAGTCCACCCAGCCAGGGCGTGACCGCCCTTGTTCCCTGGGACCCCTCAGCAGGGGGCTTCAGGGGACCCGCCTGCTCTGCTCCCCACTGTGTCTCTGGAGCGTCCTCACCGCCTGCACCACTGGCCTGCACCCCAGCTCTTGTGTACATGAAGGAAATAAAAATAAGTGTAAAGAAAACTCCTCCTGAGTCCTGGGATGTGGCTGGTGCAGCTCGCGGCCAGTGGCCAGCTTAGCCCGCATGGAGGGGCGGTCGGCTGCGGCCATGTACGCCCTTCTCTGCCCCAGGAAGCCTCTCTGGGTGTTGGTGCTGAACTTGCTTGTGTTTTTCAGCTGGAGGAAGAGAGAGCTGCGCTCAGCGAACAGCTCTCGGAAATGAAACAAAGGTCAGTGTCCCTTGTGTGCACAAGTGCGGCCGCTGCAGCGGGACTGCCACATCCCCTCCCTGCCAGCTTCCTCGCCCTTTTTGCTCCCACCACTGGACACCAGAGGCGCTGCCCGGCCACGTGGCCCCATGCCGGAGCTGGGACCAGCTCGGTGCAGTGGCCCCCACAATGGCTGCGGGTCAAGCCCACGATGCATCTGACGGGTTGCCGTGGTTGTCTTTGCCTCCTTGCTGGCCACCAGTGCCCGGACCATATCTCGGGGCCGCTGGACCCCCAGCGCCCCGCGGCACTCAGACCAGCCTGGTGTGGCCGCGGCGCGAGCTGGGCTGTTGCAGAAGTGGTCAGACCACCAGGACGGCCTGGAGAAGAGCCCCCAGGTGTCCTCTGCCTTTTGATTCACGTCCCCCGAAGCTGCTGGCTTGGTCCTCACATGGGAACACGTGGTGACCGCCGCCGCCGGCGGCCGGGCAGCCCCGTCCTCCCGCAGGTGCCTGCGCGGCGCTTGCGGACATCTGCCCCTGCCCTCTCGCCTGACCCAAGCATTTCCCATCTCTAGAGAATCCAAGTTAATACGGGAGGCGGACGAAGAGAAGGCCTCCCTGCAGAAGGCCATCCGCCTCACCAGCGCCCTGCTCACCGACAAGGACGCCGAGCTCGATCGGCTGCGCAGCGAGGTGGGGCCCCCGGCCCGGCCGGGTTCGGCCCTCCACACCCCTGCGTCCTTCCCCTGGCCCTGCTGGCCCCTGGCCCATCCTACCTAACCCCGCCCTCCTTGCTCCGCTGGCCCCTCCACCC